TGTTGGTGTAGTAGCTGCAGCGTTTTAAGTGTAGACCTGCCCAGTATAACAAGAGCTCCTTCTTTCAATAGAAAATATACATACATTTTGTCTTTCCCCAAGAACTAAGATCCAAATCCTCAACGGTATTTAGATACCTAACTCCCATTGAAATCAACGGAAGTTAGGTGCCTAAATACCTTGGGGATCTAGGACTAAATTCTTTGTAATGGAGATGATAGGCAGCACACTACATCAACTTTCAAAAACAGTCCAGAATGATAAAATGGAAGTGAATCAAGTTCAGGTACCAGTTTGTGCTACATATAAAAAACAATAAAATTTCCTGTACACATGCTAAAAGCTTACCAAATCTCACCTGTCAGTCTTATGGGACCCTAGTCAGCCAAAGTCTTTCCCACCCTTCCACAAGGTTTGGGCCCCTATTGGACAGAAGGTCCTGTCCGTTTGCTGGATCAGAAAGAAGGTCCTGAGTCAGTTTAAGTGCAGCCTTTTCATACCAAAAGCCCCTTCTTTGTCTGTTGGTCTCTGGAAAACCCAGTTTGAACCATATGTGCAAGCCACCCGCCAGGGGTGCTACTGCTTTGGAGATGTTATAATCTGAGTGATTCATCTTAACAACCCCTACTGTTTGCGGTCCCTGAAGGAGCCATGGTAACCTATCTGCAGTAGGTGTATACAATCCCTGGCCCACAGTAATACATATGCTGTAATACAGTATTACATAACTGTAATACAATATGGTCCCCAAAGATACTGCATGCAGTTGCAATATCCATCACAGATGAAAGCAAATGTAATAGCAGTGTTCAAAAAATGAAAGGATCTCTTACATTTAATGTTTATTCCTATGAGAATAATGGAACAGATGTTAAGAGGGGAAAAACCTGAACATTGTCAATAAACAGCTGGAGTTTTCTTGAAGCACAGATATTGCAACTCAAAAGAGGTCAAGTGTGGCTTTGCACAAGCCCCACATATGGACCAGTGCATTGTGTTACCTGACAAGCACATCAGGAAGCAGATTGTGACTGAGGAAGTGAAAATGACTGAGAATCGAGATCCTCTAAGTATTTAACCACCTGATTCCAATTTATTTCAATGGGAGTTAGGCATCTAATTACCTTTGAGGATCTTGGCCAAATGTGCCTACTAGTCCCCTCAGCTCCAGGTGAGGGGGAGAATCATACTCTTTCCCAGCTTTATACCTATACATCCCCCAACACTAAGCGATGATGCTAAGGTTGCCTATTCCCCATCTCTTCCTGCCCACATGTGCAGAGAGAAGGTATAGCAGCCCCTTGAGAATGGGAAGCTGGTGCAGGGAAGCAAGTGAGTGCTTTTTGCTCCCTTACTCCCTTTTGCAGGATGGGCCACAATCTGGCCTAAACTTCGATGCCTTTGTTTTGATAGTATTGTTACCCCTTTTGACATCAGCGGTTGGCCAAAGTTTGGGGCCCTGTGGGTTCTTTCCGCTAGGATGGGGTGAGATATTTCTTTGATGTAATCCTGTTTATTTACAAAGAATGTACAAAGTCAGGTTTCCCAGAACACGGCAGGAATCAAACAACAGCTTTGCTCACAGCTTCAAGATTCTTTTTGGCAGTACCCACCTTTAAAGCTCTTTCTAGGCTTTTCTCAGGGCCACACACTGTGCTTGTTCAGGCCACCCCTGTCTTCCTTGCTGCCTTCTCTCTCCCACACACATAACTCCACCAAACAATACCCAACAAGAACCCTCCACCCACATCATGCTAAGTCTTGAGCAGACTCATGTGTGTGTGCCTGTGTTCCGGTTTGAGGCACCTATTGTTTCGAACATTTATTCTGAATGAAGGACTGCTGCTACACTCATCAGTTTCAATGATGTTCTGCCCAGCCCACAACAGTATTAGGCCTGGTCTATACTTACAATTTAGGCCAACATAACTATAGTGCTCAGGGATGTGAAAAACCCAGCACCTAACCCACATTGTAGATGTAGTTAGGTGGATGGAAGAATGCTTCCATTGTCCTACCTACCTTCGTTCAGGAAGGTTGAGTTCCTACAGCAATGGAAAAATCCCTGTGTGTGGCCTAGTCTATGCTAAAAAGTTACACTGACCTAATTATGCACCTCAGAGATATGAAAAATCCACACCCTGAGCAACGTAGTTAAGTTGACCTAAGCCCTGGTGAAGACCACACTAGGTCAACAGAAGAATTCTGTCAACCCAGCACCACCTCTCAGGGAAATTGATTACCTATGCTGACGAGAGAACCCCTCCCATTGGTGTAGGGGCTAGTGTCAACACTGAAGCACTGGAGCTGTGCTGCTGTAGTGTTTCCAGTGTAGACAAGCCATAGGCCACTAAAACACCCATAATGTAGACATGGCCTTATTTAGGGTCAGATTCTGCTACCCTTACTCATGGTGTGAAGTACCAGACTGTGCAAGTAGTAGAAGTGATTTCAGTGGGCCTATCACACAGCATGAATAAGGATGGTGGAACCTCCAGACCCAAAGGGCTAGATTGTACTTTCAGACACAGTCCTGGCAAGGATCAGTGCATAAACTGCATGTCTCTGGAAGCAGCCTCAGGAGGAAAGGTGACTCAAAGACATCTCTTGGAAGTACTACTTTCTCTTGGTTCCCCTCTTGCACAAGGGGAATAATCTACTGGTAGCCTATGCCAGCAGCATATTATAACACTCCCTTATCTCACACTGGCTCAGATGTGCTGGCCAGCACATGGGGAGGCAGACTCAAGGCTCCAATATTCCCTATTCTTCTCTGCCCACTCACTCCAAACAGGTGCACCACAGCACCTATTTACTTTTGCGCACTTAAGTTCCAGGTAGCTTTTGCAGGGTAGAAGGAGAGTCTCCCCCTCATGCCCCTGTGCTAGTCCATAGTTCAAGTCACAATCTAGCCCAGTTAGTGGATGAAGTAGATGCACTATATTTGACTTTTACTTAAAGCATGTGGTACTGTCTTATAATCACTCTTGAAATTACTTCAAATTGGCTTGAATAGGAACTCTGTCCTATGGACTGAAAACCGGCTGAAGGACCATAAACAAAGGGTAATAGCAATGTATTGAGTTATGGGGAGGATTTTAACAAGTCAGGGTTGGGTCCAGTCTTATTTAATACCCTCATTAATGATCTGGAGGAGAGAGTAAAGGGAATGATGTCACAGATGACATTGAAGTGGAAGGTTTCAGAGTAACAGCCATGTTAGTCTGTATTCGCAAAAAGAAAAGGAGTACTTGTGGCACCTTAGAGACTAACCAATTTATTTGAGTAGAGCTTTCGTGAGCTGATTAAGTGAGCTGTAGCTCACGAAAGCTCTGCTCAAATAAATTGGTTAGTCTCTAAGGTGCCACAAGTACTCCTTTTCTTTTATTGAAGTGGAAGGAACTGTGAATACCAGTGATCACAGAGAAAATAATGAAAAGGAACCTAAGGCCTGAATCAAACCCCACTTAAACCACCTTAACATTGACTTCAGTGGCCTTTGGGTCAGGCCCTTAAAGAGGATAAATATATAGAAATAAACCAACAACATGAGATTCAATTAAAAAAAATGCAGAGTAACACATCTGGGGAACAATAATCCAAAACCCTATCTAAAAGGAAGAAAAAACTTGGAAAAGAGATAGAAGATAAAACAGCAAATTAGATATGAGTTTGCAAAATGACACAGCTGTAGAAAGGCCAGTTAAAATGCACAGGGTAATCATTTCACAGCAAGGTAAGGTACAGCTCTAATGTGATCATATCTGAAATAGAGTATTTTTTTTGAAGAACAAATTACCAAAAAGATATTGACAAAACTGGAGGAAATTTAGAGAAATCAACAAGAATGACTAGGGAGCTGGAGGGATTGGTTTATAAGAAGAGGCATAAAGAAATAAAGGTTATTCCATGGCCACAAAGTGAGAACTAAGGGGGATACATGTAGAAGTAATGGGATGAAATTAGGAAAAAGAAAAGTTATGCTGGAAAACTTTTGGGGAATCTCTCCACAGAAGTCCAGGAAGCCACACTGTTCTTAAAATTAGACTGTCCAATCCAAAATGTAAGGTAGGCCACAATCCCTCATTGAAGGAATATGCACTGGGGATTTGTCATCTATTTCTAAGACTGCATCATGGTGGAAACATTCCCTGATTTTCACCCAAGATGATCCAGGGACTAATAAGGCATTCAGTCCTTGAGGAGGAAGCATGGGCCAATGGTTCAAGGCCTTGCTCCATGCTCAGAAGACTTCGGATTTGCATGGGCTCCCTGGTGCAAGTCACGTAGTCCCTGTGTGTCTGGGTTCCCCACCTATGAAGTGAGACTTGCGACACTGGGAGGCGCTCAGCTGACGGGGGGCCATGCACGTACCTAAGGCAGCACTGGGCCCTCCTGTGACAGTCCGGGAGCTCTCCGCGCTGCCTGCCAGCGGGGCGGGTCCCGGGAAGCACCCTCCCGCCAACAATGGCATCAGCGCGGGACGCTGAGCAGCGCTCGCGGGCCGGACTCCTCCAGGAGGACAAGGCTCTGGGGAGGCCCGGGGCTTAGCTACAGCAGAGCCCCTCTTCCCGTCAGACTCCGCCGGGCCCGGGGGCACAGGGGGAGCTCGACACTCGCCAGGGCCTGGCGCGGATAGCACGTCGCGGGCGCCAAGCGGGGCTCGCTGCGAGCTGGGCCCGGCTCCGCGATCCCATGGGCTGAGGGGGAGGCCGCGGCCCGGCCGGGCACTCAGACCAGCCTGGCGCTAGGCACGCTGGGGCCCGGCGCCCTCTGACCCACGGGCTGCAGAAAGTGCCCCGCGAGGGGAAGGCGCGGGAGCGGCAGGGCCCAGCCGGGGCACCCGGGGCGGCTGCTTCCAGCTTGAGGGGCTGAGCGACGGGGCGCCGGCACGAGGCGAGTTTACCGCCACTATGGGCAGGCTGCTCGCCTCACCTGCGCCGCGCCGCGCCCCTTACTCGTAAGCGGGATTTCCCCTCGGCGGTGCGCCTCGTTGCCGAAACCCCGAGCAACATCACTTCCGGAGACTGGAGCCAGTTGCTAGGCTGCTAGTTGGACCCTTTGTAGCTTCCGGTCTAGTCGTGTGTGTGCGCGCGTGGGAGTCTCTTCCGGGTGTGGGGGCACCATGAGTACTATGTTCGCTGACACTGTCCTCATCGTCTTCATCTCGGTGTGCACGGCGCTGCTGGCCGAGGGTGAGCGGGGCCCTGGCCTGCGCTGGGGTGGCCGGGCCGCTGGGCGGGTCTCCTAGGTCCCCGGCGTGTTCCATTAGGAAGGGGGCGCCTGCCAGGTGTAAGCCGGTGAGCAGCCTCCGAGCCAGCCCCTTCCCGGTTCAGGCTGCGAGTGGGGCTCCGGGGGCGCAGCGGGGAGGGGCTCCTAGCTGGTCACCCGAAGAGCCCACCGTGGGGCTCCAGCCTGGGTCTCCGAGCGCGGTAGCTCTGAGGCCAAGTGCCAGGCCTGGCTCTGCCACAGCGACCGTGGGTGACTCCGTGTATCAGTTCTCCATTATCTGTGCAATGGGGGCAATAGCCCTTTGCGGGAGGTTGTGAGGAGAAATGCATTTAAGATTTTTAAGGGCTCTGGTGATGGGGACTATATACATATCGTGGCGGGACAGAGCGAAAATGACTCTGCAGCCTCAGCTGTGTGTGTATCAATTTCTATAGATTTCTGAGGTAAATACTTTTATTGCTGAAAGTTAAGGGGAGATATGAGGTCTGTATTTCACAGAGGTGTCTGTGCCATTCAGTGCATCTAATGCGTCCTTGACAAAGACCGCCCTCTGCTTACTGTATGTTGCTGTTCTCTGGGTTTCTTTCCCCTTGTTAATGTACCCAAATCTAAATGCTGCAGCAGCCCTGGGGAAGTTTCAATAGAGCTGTATAGAAAGTCATTCTCCCCTTATTTTATCTGATGCTTGTTTCAGGTATAACATGGGTGCTGGTTTACAGAACCGAGAAATACAAGAGACTGAAAGCTGAAGTGGAAAAACAAAGCAAAAAATGTAAGTGTTGCCTTTCAAACACTATAAATAAAATGGCTGTTCTTGTCTTCTCATTGTTTTCTGCTCCAGGATTTTTCAAAGTAGGGTCTGCTCTTGGCAAGAGGTGCCTTCTGTTTGCTTCCGAGGGTCCCTGCCTCATCGTAGAATCAGGGTGGATTTGATTTAAATTTCTAGTCAGGCAGATTCAATTTAATCATGGTGTTCTACATAAAAGTGCATTCTTGTTGGTTGTTATAACCTTAATACATATCCTTCGCAATTGAGAGATAGATGTAGGTTTCATTTTTAGAAGGTACACACTATACATTTTTAAACAGTGCTTTATTTTGAAAACTTTTCAGATTAGTTTTACAGCTATATCAGAAAATGAGTGGTTGTTTGATTATTCATTTACCAAAGGTAATTGAAGCAGATAGTTCACCTCCCAATGACTTCATAAATATCTCCAATTCAACAGGTTATTCATTAATATTTGGAGGATTTTCTTGCCATGCTGTATTAGGAGGAGAACATCACCAGACAGACACTTGAAGTGTGTTATTTAACTCAGGGGTTCTCAAACTGAGGATCAGGACCCCTCAGGGTTCACAAGGTTATTATATGTGGGGTCATGAGCTGTCAACCTCCACCCCAAACCCCGCTTTTCATCCAGCATTTATAATGGTGTTAAATATACAAAAATGTTTTTTTAATTTATAAGTGGGGTCGCACTCAGGTTTGCTGTGTGAAAGGGGTCACCAGTACAAAAGTTTGAGAAACATTGATTTAATTAAAACAACAACATTAAGTATTCTGGATTTTTTTCTTCAACAGCAAACATAGAATATTTTAACAAAACAAGCATATGTCCCTCGATTCTCTCATTTATCTCCAGACTTCTTCTCCTTGTCCAGATCTATTCCGCCCGCAACAATCTTCTATCCATTGAACTTTCTGAAACTTTGCACTTTTAGAGAGAGGTAAGGGATTGACTCTGTACACAAATTTGCAGAGGGACAATAGAGTTGAGGTCTGTTATTTCTCACCTCTATATATTATTTATTTTAAAACATTTAAATAAAAACCGATTTAAAATTTAATTTTTTTTAAATCATTGATTTTTATCCACCCTGCATAGAATACTTGGGAGCTTTAAACATGACCACTGCCATTCTGGTCTGAGGCAGCTCCTAGCTTTATCCTTTTTTGTCCTTAACTGGAAGGAGAAGGGTTAGTACTGAGACCTGTCCTGATGTTAATTCCACTGCCTACCTAACTTCTACTGAAGAACGGGGGGAGCAGAAATGGGTGTAAGCCTCTCTTTCCTTAGCATGGTTAGCCAGTGGTTATGTATATAGATTCCACCAGCTGCATTGAGGTGAGCTCAGGGATCCTGCCTGTGCTCTTTGAGAAGGACCCCAGATCTGGGGAGGAAGGAGAGAGAAGAACAGGAGGAGTTACTGAAAAGAGGAAGAATTGTGGTTGGATGAATGTTATGAGAGACTAGGGAGGAATAGATAAGGAGTGAGATTAAAGGTCCCAGAGGAGAATGAGGGAGGATGATTTTTGTGGTGGGAGAAAAAAAGTGACGGAAGAAAGAACACACACACAGAAGTTGCATGAGTTTAAATTGGTTTTTAAACTGATTGCACTAGTTTAAGTACAACCTCTCTATATAAAATGAGCTTGAAAGGACTTGGAGAAGGAGGGAGGGAGTACAATGCAGTGAAAAGAGAAAAGGAAATGAGGGATGGAGATTGAGGAAAGAAGATAGAGAGGTGGAGAAAGAGTTGGAAGATCTATGGTATAAGGTAAAAGTGGCGCACAAAAGCATCAATAGAAATAAGTGAAGTAAGGGTTTTAAGCAAGTGACAGCTCAACAGAAGATCGGCTTGGCTTCTGTCTCCCTCTCTCCTGAGCCTTCAGGAGAAGACAAGTTAGAATAATAGGAGATTAGGATTGGAAGAGACCTCAGGAGGTCATCTAGTCCAAACCTCTGCTCAAAGCAGGACCAATCCCAGCCAGGGCTTTGTCAAACTAGGCCTTAAAAATCTCTAAGGATGGAGATTCCACCACCTCCCTAGATAACCCATTCCGGTGCTTCACCACCATCCTAGTGAAATAGTGTTTCCTAATTTCCAACCTAGACCACCCCCACTGCAACTTGGCACCATTGCTTCTTGTTCTGTCATCTTCTGAGAACAGCCAAGCTCCATCCTCTTTGGAACCCCCCTTCAGGTAGTGGAAGGCTGCTATCAAATCCCCCTCACGCTTCGCTTCTGCAGATTAAACAAGCCCAGTTCCCTCAGCCTCTCCTCGTAAGTCATGAGCCCCAGCCCCCTGATATTTCCGTTGCCCTCTGCTGGACTCTCTCCAATTTGTCCACATCCTTTCTGTAGTGGTGGGCCCAAAAACTGGACACAGTACGCCAGATGTGGCCTCACCAGTGCCAAATAGAGGGGAATAATCACTTCTCTCAATCTGCTGGCAATGATCCTACTAATGCAGCCCAATATGCTGTTAGCCTTCTTGGCAACAAGGGCACACTGCTGACTCATATCCGACTTCTCATCCACTGTAATCCCCAGGTCCTTTTCTGCAGAACTGCTTGTTAGCCAGTCGGTCGCCAGCCTGTAGCACTGCATGGGATTCTTCCGCCCTAAGTGCAGGACTCTGCACTTGTCCTTGTTGAAGCTCATCAGATTTCTTTTGGTCCAATCCTCCAATTTGTCTAGGTCTCTCTGGATCCTATCCCTCCCTCCAGCATATCTACCTCTCCCTGCAGCTTAATGTCATCTGCGAACTTGCTGAGGATGCAATCCATCCCATCATCGAGATCATTAATAAAGATGTTGAACAAAACCAGCACCAGGACCGACCCCTGGGGCACTCTGCTTGATACCAGCTGCCAGCTAGACATCGAGCCATTGATCGCTACCCATTGAACCCAACAATCTAGCCAGCTTCCTATTCACCTTATAGTCCATTCATCTAATCCTTACTTTTTCCAGGAGTATAAGACAGCGCAGAGTAGCTAAGGATAAAACCTACTAGTATAAGATATGAAACCAACTGAAACCCCAGCAGAGAGTTTAGAGCAGGAGCGGGCAAACTTTTTGGCCTGAGGGCCACATCAGGGTATGAAAATTGTATGGCGGGCCATGAATGCTCACAAAATTAGGGGTAGGGGTGTGGGAGGGGGTGAGGGCTCCAGCTGGGGGTGCAGGCTCTGGAGTGGGGCCAGAAATGAGGAGTTCATGGTGCGGGAGGGGGCTCCAGGCTGGGGCAGGGGGTTGGGGGGAGGTGAGGTGCAGGCTCTGGGGTGGGGCTGGGGATGAGGGGTTTGGGGTGTAGGAGGGTGCTCCGGGCTGGGACCAAGTGGTTCAGAGGGCGGGAGGGGGATCAGGGCTGGGGCAGGGGATTAGAGGGGATGCTCAGGTGCAGGCTCTGGGCGGCGTTTACCTCAAGCAGCTCCCGGAAGCATGTCACCCCTCCAGCTCCTATGCAGAGGCATAGCCAGGCCAATAGGAGCTGTGGGGGTGATGCCTGCGGACGGGGCAGCGCAGAGCGGCCTGGCCGCACCTCCTCATACTATGCAGGAGCCGGAGGGGCGTCACGCCGGCTGCTTCCTGGAAGCCATGTGGAGCAGGGCAAGCCCCCAACCCTGCTGCCTGGCTGGAGTGCCGGAGCGGGGCAAGCCCCCGACCCTGCTCCCCAGCGGGAGCTGAGGGCCAGATTAAAAGGTCTGATGGACCGGATGTGGCCCGTGGGCCATAGTTTTCCCACCCCTGGTTTAGAGATAATGTGCTACTCCTTTGGGTGCTGTGGATTTTATAAGCAGCTGGTATAGATTAATCTCTGGTGTTTAATGATTGCTGTAGAGACTTTACTCTGATTATTTTGTAATTCCTCCTATCTCTGGTTTGTGTTTCCACGAAGAGCCAGATGTGAGGTGCATACACCAATAATAATTGCTAACGTTAATGCTTGTGAGTTAGAGTTTGAGTGGCAGAGCTGAGAATAACAAATATTAGCTACAATTTCAGATTTGATTAACATTTATTAATCACAGTTTATCCACATATCCTTTTTAAAATGAGCACTTATCTGTCCTTTGACAATTCTTAAATATACAACTGTAAAATAGACCACTCCTGCCATACCTTTCAACCATTTGTCAGTGTACCCACAGCAACAACCAATGTGCCAATAAAACAGCAAAAAAAAAACAAACCAAACCATGGATAAGATCACTAGGCCACTCTGCCAGAGCCTTGCCATTCTATCACAGCTACAGAAAACAAATGGGTCTTGAAAGTGAATAAACTAGGGCTATTAGATTAGGGGAGTGTTTATAATTTAATCTCTCAACAAAATATACTTGTGTTGTATGGCACAGCTATGTCTCAAAACTCAGTGAGCCTGAAAGTTTCAGGGTAGATGTCTGATTATTATCTGGCAATGGAAGAAGTTGCAAGACTGCAGCATGGTTATAGTAAGAATAAAAATGATGATGTGCCACTTTATTTACTCCTAGTGACCTTTCTGAGCAAACTTGCTCAGTTTACATCGCCCTTGCATAATCCTACTGGCCTGCTTGCCTGAGGTGTGTGATTTAGTTTATGGATAAGTAAACTTCACCGTTAACCTTTTCATCAGCAGCATTGTGGTAAAAGCAGATGAGTAGGTTTGTGCCTGGGCTGTTCGTTTTTTGGCAATTGTGCAAGGTTGGTTTATGAGTCATAAGAATTTTATCTGTTAGCACCACAAATTCTCCTGCGATCTGGAAATTTAGCTGTAGTCTTTCTGTCTTGGTCATCATCAGGAATAAAAGTTCTGCCATTAAAACTGAACTGATATACTAATATGTGAGATAGAAGTCTTCAGCGCTGACACTATGGAACAACAGGAGTGAAAATGGGTTTGTTGGTAAAGTAGATGTACAGATGTGCCGTTGGAAAAAGGCAATCAATATCACATATCTTATCATAACTGTACTTTAACATTTATCATCCCATTTTCATATTGTGATATTGGCTATATAAACCTGAAACTAAAACTTGGCTTTCATTTTCTGGGACTGTCGATCAAATTTCTCTGCTAATGGAGGTGATTCCATTTGCAGATTGAAAAGCATAGTTGCTGGATCACAGTATCAACAGATCAGCACTCTGGCTTGTGACTATCTGTTGGCTTTGCTTGCAGCAATCTGTGGAGTATCTGCTGTCTGAATTGGTTGTCCTACTTGGTTTTCTGGTAGCTTTGATAACTAAGTTTAGACTTGCTACTTAATTTTTAACTTCAAAATATTGGGAATGTTTCAGCCCTAATTGGATGACCAGCAAGAATGGAGCTGGTTGTGCCAGACTGCTGGCGCAGCACTTCCACTGAGAATGCCTGTCTGTGAAGAAGGGATATAACAGAACACAGGCCTTTCTGTGTTCTGCTTCCCACTGCAGATAGCTAGGGTCAGAGTTTCCCATAAAGCTCGTTTCATCACACTTGTTGAATTGAAAGTACTGTCTAGAATTCATAATGACAAATCAGCAAGGGCTGTTTAAACCAAAATGATACTCAAGCTCCTTGGTTCACAATGCAATGGGCTCCTTTGGCAGGTTTTAAAAGTCTGGCTTTTGTCAGGGATTGAAATTGTTCTTTTCCTCGTCTAGGATCAGGGCCTGGAAAACATTCCTAGTCTTGAAAACATTTGTGCCAGTCCTGCTCTGGCAGGTTATAAGACATTGAACATATATCATAGACATATATCTGTATCTTGCTTCCTTCCTTCCTCCTGCCCCAGTCTGCATGAGGGTTTTGGGTATAAGGGAGAGGAAAAGAGAAGGGGTTAGTAGCATAACTCTCCATTGTTTGTGTGAAAGTGATTCTATGTTGTCTTTGCCCTTTGTAGTGGAAAAGAAGAAGGAAACGATAACTGAATCAGCAGGCCGACAGCAAAAAAAGAAAATAGGTAAGATTTGGGGAGGGGAGGTGTGATGCTCCAAAAGTGAGGGGGAGGCTGTGAGGAAAAGCTGCTGGAGTTGACTTTCCCTTTCTTTCCACAGGTTCGGGGGGGGGCTGAGGGCTGGGCCAGGGGGTTGGGGTGCAGGAGAGGGTCAGGGTTCTGGGCTGGGGGTGCAGGCTTTGGGGAGGGGCCAGGGATGACAAGTTTAGGATGCAGGAGGGGGCTCCGGGTTTGGGGAGTGCTCAGGGCTGGGGCAGGGGATTGGGGTGCATGGCTGCAGTGCGGGCTTACCTCAGGCGGCTCCTGGTCAGCGGCGCAGCAGGGGTGATAAGGCAGACTTCCTCCTGTCCTTGTACAGTGGACCACACTATGCCCCGGTAGCGGCCAGCAGCAGGTCTGGCTCCTGGGCAGAGGGGCAAGCAGCTCCGCGCGGCTCTTGCCCACAGGTACCCCCTCCCCCAGCTCCCATTGGCTGGTTCCCAGCCAATGAGCGTGCGGAGCTGGTGCTCGGGGCGGGGGCAGTGCACAGAGCCCTGTGGCCCCACCCCTCCGTGCCTAGGAGCTGGACCTGCTGCTGGGTGATTCCGGCGCGCAGCGAGGTGTCAGAACAGGTAGGGACTAGCCTGCCTTAGCCGGGCAGCACTGCCGACAGGACTTTTAACAGCCTGGTTGGTCATGCTGACCAGAGCTGCCGTGACCTAGTACTGGGTCGCGACCCACAGTTTGAAAACCACTGCCTTACAGTAATAAGATGCGATGTACAAATAAAATTCTGAGAACAACACTGCTTCCAGTATACAATATACTGGCACTACCTGATTTTTACAAGCACTGTTTGGTTTTCCAGTTGACATGTCTGTCTGTATGTTGTCATGCCCATTGTCTGAGTTGTTGTGCATTGCCTTTTGAATGTTGACAAACCTCATATACTTGTTCTGCTGCATGTTGTTTCGATTCAAGGACAGTTAGCTGTGTACCGTTTTCACACTGTATTGTCTGGCATACAGAGCTGGAGTCTGTCTTGGAACTATTACTGGCTTGGATAGCAAGGAAGGTTTAGACTTCTTGAAAGTGAAATCTTTCTGGTGTCTGGATTGGGATAACCTCTGTGCTCTTCCCTGTTTTACAGAGAGGCAAGAGGAGAAGCTGAAGAACAACAATAGGGACCTGTCGATGGTAAGAATGCTGTAAATTAGGGGCAATGCCCAAACTAGTGAAGGGCTAGATCTCATTCCCCTCCGCCCCCGCAATCTCTCTAGTGCTTCCAAAATAGAAGCAATTTTCCTGACTTTCCACTTACTCACCCCATCTTCCTAGTGAGCCCACTCTGTTTGTTATTTCCCTTCCTGCCTCACAGTTCCCGTGGACTCCCCTTTCTTTATGCGTGGTCACCTTTTGGTTAACAGGACAGCCCTGAGACCTCCCTTTCCTCCATAAGCTCCTGGCCCCCATGATCCCTCTCATGGCTGTTCCAGTACTTGTAGCTATTCAACCCTTCTAAGAGTTTTCTGCTTGGTCTCCTCTGCTACAAGCTGAGAGAGTGAGCTTAAAGATTCCCTTCTCTTCTGATCCTGATGCTGCTGCACAAAACCCATTATTCAGTATTAAAGCCCCCAAGCCCTAACTCTGGGACTTGCCTTTATTTTTAATCTGTTTGTTTCTCCCTGTATTAGCTGTCAATAATGAATGACTCTGACCTCTCTGGTTGCAGGTTCGAATGAAGTCCATGTTTGCAATTGGCTTTTGCTTTACTGCCCTCATGGGCATGTTCAACTCCATGTAAGTATCAGTTCTCTCTGGCTGCTTCCCCCCCCCTGCCCCCCCCTTCCCAGCCTTCAAAGTGAATGTATCCCATCCCCTCTCTCCTTTGCTACTTGGACTCATTCTACTGATGTTCATGGGATCCCACTGAGAGCTGCATCTAATTTGTATAAAATGGATCAAACTGCAGCTCTCCTCATCTTTGATATAGAGATGAAGCCAGCGAATCTGCAGGTCAATCATTGCTTCTGCTCAGCTCAGCATGGAGCATTGCATGCAGGGATTCTCTAGGCTGCACTTTAGCCACAACTGAGCATGCTTGCTGTTCTGGAATATGTGACCAGGATGAAAGTCTGGCTAATTCAGAATAGCTTTGCGGAGATCGGGCAGCCTTCCACAGTCTTCAGACCTTTCTATCACATCTGCATTGGCTATCTGTGTTGGCTTTTGCTTTGCTTTCTAAAGCAGTACTGGCTGTTTTTTTTCCAAAAGCCGAGATTCTTAAAGAAAAAAGGTTTTGGAATTGACTAGGGTAATTACATAAGCTATACTTTTCATATATTTATATGTCTAAATAATACTGTCAGAATATTTTGTTTTTGAGTGCAATACTAGAGCGATGCTTGAATTTTCTTGGGGGAGCGACAAAACTCTTCGTCCTCCCTACCCCCCAAAACCAAACAAACAAAAATACTGGGGGATTTCTGTCCACAACAATGGTGACAGTAATCCCATGGTTGGCCTTCAGATTTGTGGATGTCTCAAACTTAACTGGTCATTCACAAATCTACCCTGCCGTGCTTATCTGCTCATGTTGTCACCTTTCCCATCACCAGTAATGCCAGCCTCAGCTCCTTATTTGTCCACCTTTCCCATAACCATCGTTGTGGTTTCTTCTGTGCAGCCCTTTGTATGGAGTACCCTCTCTGAACTGGACCATAAAGCCACTTTCCAGTCCCTCCTAAAGTCCCAACTCTGCCATGATTCTTACATGAAACTTAAAGGCTGCATCAGGAGCCAGTGAGGGGGATATCTGATGTACTTTGGGAAGGGTGAATGCAGCTTGTCTCAGATGTGAGCTCTTCAGGTTAGGAAATCTCACTATGTTTAGACAGTACCTAGTATATTGTGGGTGCTCTGTGATAAAAATAATGTATGTGAAGGGATCTTTCAGTCTGAGGCCGGGGGGACACTTCCTGCTGTTGGTGAAGTGAAGTGAAGCGAAGCCTAGCCCTTTGTAATAGAGTTTGGGCATATATGCCAGCACTTAAAAATGTTCTGCTAATGACAGTTTTGTTGTACTAAGGTCAGTTATAGTATAGCTTTAGGTTCAGAGCCAGATCTGTCACTCACTAGCATGAAAAGGTGGGTCCCTCCACTCTGAAGAGTCTGCCATTTCATTTTGTCTTCACAGCAGCAGGCAGACGGGTCTGTGCTGCCCCACTGTAGAGCTTTAACAAAAGCACTCTTCCTTCCATAGTGTCTACTTTGGCCCCAAATTCTCCAGCAATGCGCTTGCAGGACAAAGTATGTGCCTCTTTCCCTGATTGCTGAAGAACACTAGAGGCTGGAGCCCTTGCTCATCCACTGGGAGTTCAGTATGTTGGACAAAGAAGGGAGAGAGGCAGAAATACACACTTTGTACCATTCCCCTCACTGAGGCACTCAGCAGGGATCTGCTTCTTTTGAAGGGCCCAGGTTATGCTTACAAACAGCTCATTCTGGGTAAGTGTTGTTCTGACCCCTAACTCTAGGGAAGGAAAAGTCCCTGGGAGGTGCAGACAAACAAGCCCAATTAGAGAAGCAGTCAACCATCTGGAACCATCCCCTGCTCCTCCTATACATAGTTGGAAACTACACTACAAGGCCAGTGTTCCGCATCCATCTGGCAGAAGCAGTTGCATTCTGTGTGCTTTGCTTTAAGGAGGGCCTTGGATTGTGGTCCCAATTCTCTCTCTCTCTCTCTCCTCCCCCCCACCCCTGATCTCTCTGTGCAATGGTTCCATGTTTGTCCATCTGCTAAAACTACTTTTGAAGGTTCTTACAACTATGTACCATCCCACCCTAGAACCTACTGATGCTTGTGATTAAACTTTGAGCCTACTGTCTCTTGATGTGGTGCTGAAAGTTTCATTCTTGGTGGCCATCTTCTCAGTCTCTGGAGTACAGTCTGCTATGGCCAGCTTCCCCTGTACTGTATTCACATGGGCCCATTAGAACTTGGACCTCACTCAGTCTTGACTTTTAAAATTATCTTCTTTTTAAAAAAAAAAAAAAAAAAAAGTCTAAATCATGCCATGTTGTTGTCTCTATTTTCTAAAGCTATCGCAGGAAGGTGAAGCTGCACATCCCAGATGTCCAGAGAGCTCAGTTACTATTTAAACAGGACTAACCCTTTTAGCAAGTCCAAGAGATTGTCTGTGGCACTCAAAGAAAAATCTAAAGGTTTGACAGTTTTGGCTTAACGGCAATCTAAGTGTCTAAGACTATGCTTCCAGTCTTATGGGCTGGCTAGTGTACCTGTGTGTGAAGGGCAGCTTCAGGGACTTGTCAGTGCCATGCCCTCATCTGAAATCTATAGGGCTCATTGGGGAGGGGGGAGAGAGCTGGTTGACATCTTCACCAATTGCTGTTCTCTTGACATGGTATCAAGAAGAGATGTTGGTTTCAGGAGGACAGTGTTCAATCACTGTTTAGCTGGGGTCCTCAGGCCACTTCCTGGGAAGTCATGGCTACTAGCCACCTACAGAGGTGCTCTAGATTCAGGGTTGAGAAGGAGGAAAGGGGATTGCTTGTGCTTGGAACAAGAGTCAGTGTATTGCTTTATTCACCCACTTCTTTCCCCCAACTGCTGGAGAGGCCAAGGCCTAAAGTTTGGGAGGAGAGGGACTATGGGTTGTTTGGAGTGAGCATGCTGTGTTTACCTTTGGACAATAGAATGTAGGCTGGCCATGTATCCCTTCTGTCAGCTACTGCCTAAAAGCCATGGCCATACAGCTAGGCAAATGACTCCTACAGAGAGGCTTTGTACATGCAACATATATATACAGAGAACGGTAACTAGCCCCTTACTTGCTGTTGAAAATGGGAGCTGCAATACACAGTACAGGGATGGGAGGGACAGGTGCAGGAAGGCTGGCTTGAACACTAGGTTGAGGATCTACCATGAGGATCCTGATTATCCATTCAGGGTAATCTTTTTTTGTAGGTTGGTGGGATCCATGGAAAAGCTATGTCTGCTAGGGGTAGGGCGATCTGCAGGTGAATACTAGACTGGGATCCAGGCAGATAGGGGTATCTAGTGAGAGAAGTTACCTGCTGTGCCCCTTGGTTCTCTCCGGACACTAACATCTTACTCCATTAGTCCTGAATCATGCAACTCTGCCAAAGCAGCAAACCTTACAGAATTCCCTACAAGAGTGTGCCTTAAAACCTAGGTTACCTGCCAGAAGAGAAGGCAGGTACCTCAGGCTACCACCTCTGAGCTACTCTATGTTCCCACAGCAGGAGTAATGCAGAATCCTAAAACACCGGGGATGTTACAGGGAGACAAACATCCGTTCCTAGCCCTTCTGCCAAACTGCCTGTGAGATGTAAGCAAAGTTGGCACATGTTAGAGCCATAGCTCTGTGTGAGTGCCTCTCCACAGGAAAGAATGCTCATTTAGGAGCTCTTGAAACCAGAAACACCTGTTAGAAAATGAACACTCAAGGAGAAAATAACATCAAACTCTGAGCACACACTGATGCAGCATGATACGCACACTGCTTCAAAGGGTAGTGTTGGCTGTCTGATTTCAGAAGCTGAATCTCTTCAGTCCGTCCAAATTCACACCATGTCTCCATATCCGGAATGTAGTACTGAATGCTTCCCAGCTCCTGGAGTTGAATAGGTACCTTGTGGGAATATACAATGTCCCCTGCTTCTGAAGAGTGAATGCAGAGAAGGAGCATTATATAAAAAGGAATTCTCTCCATGGCGGTTGCCCACATTCCTTTTGGTAACTGATAAATGTAACAAATCTGGGCGGAGGGGGGGGGAACAAAAAAAAAAAACCCACAGAGTTGGGCTTTAGTTTTTCTTCTGAAAGCTGAGCACACACCTCTAGTACAAAAATCCATGAGTCTGCATAAAGTAACTGTATTACAACAGGCTGGTAATTGTCTCTTGACTCAAGTGTTACAGCGCTTTGAGAGAAACCTATGTGTGACTTGGTTTTAAATAGCAGGTGTCAGTACTTGAGGATATTGATTTAGAAAGTTCCTAGTCTGTGTCCCGCAAACCTTGGTCAGCAATTTATCCAACCAGTAATCATTGATAGGTTGACCTCCAGGAGGGACCCCTTGTCATTCCACAGCATCTGCTAAGGGAGGCCTGCACAGTCCATTCAGTGGATGGCAGGCCGCTGTGGTGCGTGGCCTTGAGGATGGGGTGTGTGTATATATTAGTCTGTCTAGTATTGTGCAAGTGAAGGTGGAGCCACATGACTTTTTTTTTTTTTTTTTTTTTTAGGCTTTTGACTTGATCTTGCATCTGGTTTTGTCCTCTTGGAGGCCTGTTTCATTTAAAACACTTAATCTGTTTTTCTGCAATCCAGGGACCCGATTACTGTCCCAGACTGAAGCCCTTCTCTAGGCTGGGTACTTGGTTGCCGTCTCACATTAAGTGATCTCTTCTCTTCCAGATTTGACGGCCGAGTGGTGGCAAAACTTCCTTTTATCCCCCTCTCCTACATCCAGGGCCTGTCCCATCGCAACCTACTTGGGGAGGATTACACTGACTGCTCCTTCATCTTCCTCTACATTCTCTGCACCATGTCTATCCGGCAGGTGAGTGCTGAGCTGCTTCCTATGGAGCGGGAATGGGGCAGGCATTGATCTGCCACCTGGTAAGAAGTAGCAAGTGCCCAATAACCAATTTAGCACATGTAGTCTGCCTTTGACCTAGGTTTGTTTGAAGCTTTCACATTGACCACTGGTTCCCATAGGCTTAGCTGTCAAAGGAAATGTAGTGCAGAAAAGTCTCACTTTGTATGAGGTCTTATCTCATGAGGGAGACCTGGCTAAAGTCAGCAGGATTGCTCCAGGACATTCCCGTGGAAACAGCTTCCACCCTGCTACCTGTCGCCAGGTAACTTTGTGGACTGACAGGATCATTTTTGGTAGGGGATCAGTTGCATGGTTCACTGACTTCACGGCAGGCTTCAGAAAACACCAGGATTACTAAGAAAAAGCCCTTACTAAAAACCTGACTGTACAGTCATTATCAGAAAGAAAAACACTCCTCCTTTAGTGTACTCTGAGGGTATGTCTACTTTGCATCTGGAAGTGAGCCATCTAGCCCAAATTCTCAGCCATCTAGCCCCCATGGTAGTGGGGCTTGGGCTAGCACTCTGAAAATGGTTCTAGGGTGTAGATTTTGTGGCTTGGGCTCTGAAACCAGTGGGGGTGGGCTTGAGACCCTGAGCTGCAACATCAAAGCATGATCTACATGCTATTTTTAGAGCATTAGCCTGAGCCCTGCCAGCACAAGTCTGTGGACGCAGGCTGGGAGGCGCATTCCCAGATACGATGTAGCCTTAATGTAAGCTGCTCCAAAAGGCTCAATCCGTGTCCAAAAAATCTGCTGAGGAAGCAAGAAAGTCTGGGGTCAAACCTGCATTTTTCTCAAGTGCCTTATTCTCTTCCCTCCCCCCTTGCCTGATTAATACATGACTCTCTCTGAAGGCTGAATAGCTTTCCCTTCAGAGTATTTTCTGTTCCAAATCACCAGTGGGTGGAGTAATTTATAGAATGGGGGTCTGGTGTGACAAAATGCAAGGCCATGCTAGAGAACACTGTTAAGAATTTACCACCATGGTGGATTGTGACCCATACACAGGCCCTTCTGCTACAAGGCGGAACTGCTGGCCCTGAAAATGGGAAGTGTCTTCGTGGTTGGGAATAGCTTGCCACAGTGATGCCATCATTTTATCAGCTGCGGTGCACTGAAGCAGGAATAATAGTGAAGCAGCTGTTTAACTGACAGTGGAGCTGCTATTAGCACATGACTAGGTTGGATGAAGTGTCAGTCTGTGTCGGTTAGGACCGGTGGGACTTGAGTGCTGCTGAAAGTGTGTTCTGCTTGTTGAATTTCCCCCAGGGAGTGGGAAGAGGCTAATAGACCCTGGAAGCTGGATTAATGCTGATGCACTTAGCTGGTTCTCTATTTTTATCTTTCCTCTTGCTTTGGTTCACTTCCTGAATGCTTGCTGCTTATTTCTCCTTGATCTGCAGATCTCTGTTGCTTTTTCCTCTGGAGGTGCCAAGGGACTTAGAAACCCTTACAGCAGGTCAGGAGAGGAAATGATTCTTGTGCTAACTTCTAACAGAGGGGTCAGGATGGGCTTGGTGAAGTGGCTCAATAATAGAATGAAAGCTCCTTTACCGCAAAATAAGTGCATATTAATGGATCAGACAGATTCTCTCCCTCCTTCCACAGCAGGATCCTGCATTAAATCAGATCTGTGTCCAGTCTTGCATGAAGGAACAAGGCAAACAAACTAGCAAAAGCCATCAAGTCCACTGACCCCTCATTAATGCTCTCAGCACAGCAGGTCTTGTTCAGTGCTCGTTCCCTGGCCTGGAACTAGAACAGCAGGTGCTGTTGTGTGTTGAGGGGTTTGTCTAGTTTTTGTGGTTTCTGTGTCACCCACTGGGAAGCTTTTGTGTTGTTTCTACAGTGACTGCCCCCCAGCGAATCTCACACCAGGTAGCCAGTGCCTTGCAGTACCCTGGGGAAACTCTCCTTGCCTCCAATCTGTGTTACAGTGGGGCTCTATGCCTTTCTATTCTGACACAAATAGACTTTCTTTTGCACCCCTGAAAGGCAACGAGCAGTGAGAGTGAAACTCAGATTGTGCTGGCTGCTGCATGTCTGCTTTGCACCAGTTGGATACTTGGGGAATTCAGTGGCTGAAAAATCCCAAGTGGCCTTTTTGTATGTTTTAAAATAAAAAATCCCATGGTATATTCCAGTTTTGACTATTTCCTGCTGTCACCTTCTGCGATGAAACATACTAGAAGCAGCACAAAATGAATGGCTGGGCATAAACACTCGGGTTTTCAATGCTAGGTATTCAGCTTGTTCAGTCCAACAAGCCTTCAGCCCTTTACTTGTCCCTGCTAATGGCCTGGTGGGGGTAGTAGCGCCATTGCCTTGGAAAGGACATTTCAGCTTCATATGCTGCAGCCTCTCTAGTGTAACTCTTTTTTTTTATTCTCTGTAGAACTGACGTACTTTGTACTCCCAGCATTACATTAAAAGCGGTAGCTGCTCCTTTCACACTCAAGTCTTTACCTCTAAGCTGTAGTTTAAACTGGCCCCCATGGAGGTGGAAGGGCCCCCCTACAATCCATGAGGGCAACAGCCCAAGAGAAGAGCTGCAGAGAGGTGGGGCCCTGGAATTAAATAGTGGGAGAACAGGGGAAGATCAGAGTCCATTGGGGGGGAGGAGTATAGGAGAGAATCCCTAGAACTCATTAAATTGAGGCAGAGCCTAGATTTAGTTCAGGGTGTGGGTGTCTCAGTCTGCTCTGTGGGAGGGAGAGGACTAATTGGTGCAGAGTGACCAAGTGCCACTGATTTAAACAGGCATTGCTTATGGGGTGGGAAGTGATAGCACAGCTACTCTTCACCTAGGCTGATAGTCCTCAGGCACGTGAGGCTTGAGGAAACTCCTCAAGACCTGGCTCGACTGCTTTTTGCCTGTGACCTGGGGCCAGCATCTCCTGAAATATCCAATTTGCAGTGAGTAACTTCCTCTGTGCTGTTCCCATCTCCCCCTGCACGTAAATCCTGTCCAGTGGTTCCTTGTGCCTTCCTGTTTGGAGAGAGGGCTGCTGCTGAGAGAGGCTTTCTACAGGCCATTGAGCTGCTGCCTTTCGGCTGAGGAAGTCTGCTGCTGAATTGGGAGTGATGCGGAATGTCGGTTATATCCTCTGCCCCTCCTCCTGTTAGTGCTCTAACAGCCTTCACCTGTCCTGTTTGTTGCGTAATAAACCTTTATTACACAGAGGCTTGCCAATATTTAGTTTCCTTTTCACACATCTTTGAATTTTAGACCTGTCCTCTTCCTCTACTCAAGATGTGCTCCTGGTGGTAGAGGGGGCCAACGATTCCCCCTGCAGACAGGAGAGGGAGCACATCTTTCTTTCCCACAAACTGTCCTGATTGTTGTGGGGCAGTGGGTCAGTTCTGATTAGTTTTCTTCTCCTAGGGCACTTAAAAGTTTTGCGCAGAAATGACATCTGTTCGCTCTGCACTGATTGTGGGGTGGAAAGGATTCAAAGGAAAAGACAAGGGGTGGGATGGACTGGTGTAGTACAAATGTTCTTGCTCCCCTGCTGCTGCTTTCTTCTGCTCCCATCGGTAACGGTGTGCTGCCCAGAGTTGTCCTTCCTTTAGAAAGGAAGAGTGTGTGCTATGCTGTGGGGACGCAACGTGGTGCAGGCTTCCATAACGCTTAGTCCTGGCATCAGTGTCTGGGACCTTCTGTGCAATTTTAACATCACTGTCTTGCAAAAGTTATTTATCAGCATAATGCTAGCTAGCTACATGTCTGCTGGAGAGAGAACTTGACAATTGTGGGAGAGGAAAGGCTGGCCAGAGAGTGTGTAGCATTCTGATTGGTTATAGTCGGCTCAGGTCAACGTGTCTGTTTGCCTCTACTCTCATAATCCCTCCTCCCACCAGTGAGATTTGTCTGACCAGCTAGAATGTACAGGGCTGAGTGATGGCATCGACAAGAGTCGGGAGCATGCAGTGCAAGCTTCCCCCATTGCTCCGATAGTAACTTTGGTCTTGAACGACTATGCTTCTGCTCTATCAGCGCACCTCGGTCCTGATCCTGCAGTAGCCCCTACTGGTCAATCGAGTCCCTTTTGAATAGCTGTTCCCTTTTCTAAGTTCACCAACATTTCCTGTTACAAGGCCCTATTTTTAGTTATTGATAAGCTGGTCAGACTTTAACTCTTTGGGCTGAAATTTTCCATGCTATTAGTTACCTCTGGCAGTGCAAGTGGCAGAGGTCTGTGGGTCGGATCTAAAGATTCCAACCTTGCTGATGAACCATGTGGGCATCAATATAATGCCACATGACGGAATCTGTTTTTTCAGTTTGCTTTTTTAAAAACCCAGGAGATTACACACAGGTTTTTGTGTTAAAAGAACATTATTAAAGTTGCTAATCCAAGCACTCAGAAGTTAGGAAATGCCAGAATTAAGGTTGCCTGTGCATATGCATTATGATACAGCCTTTAATCACATGACCCACACAGTTTTTTTCCACAGGATGCTGCCTCATTCAGTGAACAGGATGGACAGTGCTCACTTCATTAGCAACTACTCACTATGTTTTCTTCTCATCATTCAATGGGTGGCCCCAGGCCTTGGTTAATCTCACTAGTCAAACCCTGCTCTGAAGACAGAACAGTTAATCTCCTCAGGGGCTTTTCTGTCATGCTCAACACTACCCTAGCTTTGTGCCTAATAAACATTACTGATCTTATTTTCACAACACTCTTGTGAGATGAGGGGGTATTAGCCCCATTTTACAGATGGATAACTGTGGCCCAGAGAGATTAAGATAAAAAGTATTCACTAATTTTAGGTGTACAATTTGAGATGTTGAGGACCTGATTTGCAGAGTACTTAGCATTATAGGGCTTTATATGTTCAGAGCACAGCTCCCAGTTTTTCAGATGCAGCTACGAGTACTCAACGTATCTGCAAATCATAAGAACAGCCATACTGGGTCAGACCAATGGTCCATCTAGCCCAATATCCTGTCTCCTAACAGGGGCCAATGCTAGATCCTTCAGCATGAATGAACAGAACAGGTCAATTTTTCAAGTGATCCATCCCCTTTTGCCCAGTTCCAGCTTCTGTCAGTTGGAGGCTTTGGAACACCCAAAGCATGGGGTTGCATCCCTGACCAGTTTTGCTAATAGCCTTTGATGGACCTATACCCCAGGAACTAATTCTTTTTTTTTAACCCAATTATCCTTTTGGCTTTCACATCATCTGGCAACGAGTTCCACATGTTGACTGTGCATTGTGTGAAGAAGTACTACTTCTTTTTGTTTGTTTTAAACCTGCTGCCTATTAATTTTGTGGGTGAACCCTGATTTTTGTGTTAAGTGAAGGAGTGAATAACACTTTTTTTTTTCCCTGCACACCATTCATGATTGTATAGACCTCTATCTTATGCCCCTTAGTCATCTCTTTTAAACTGAAGTGCCAGTTTTTTTTTAATCCATCCTTAGATGGAAGCTGTTCCATATTCCTAACTAATCCTTTTTGTTGCCCTTCTCTGTACTTTCTCCAGTTCTAATATATCTTTCTTGAGATGGTGTGATCAGAACTGCATGCAACATTCAAGGTGTGGGCGTACCATGGATTTATATAGTGGCTTATATTTTCTGTTGTCTTATTTATCCCTTTCCTAATGGTTCCTAACGTTCTGTTAGCTTTGACTGTCGCTGCACATCAAGCAGATGTTTTCAGAGAACTGTCCATAATTACTCCAACATCTCTTTCTTGAATGGTGATAGCTAATTTAATTTTGTATGTATGGTTGGGATGTTTTCCAATGTGCACTGCATTGCATTTATCAATATTATATTTCCTCTGCCATTTTGTTGCCCAGTTACAAAGGGATCTCACAAAACTGGGTATCTCTTTGCTGTCACCTTTGGACTTCACTGCCTTGAATAGTTTTGTATCATTTGCAAACTTTGCCACCTCTCCGTTTACTTCTTTTTCCAGATAATTTATGAATATGTTGAACAGCACAGCTACCAGCACAGATCCTTGGGAGACCCTGCTATTTACCGCTCTCCACTGTGAAAACTGGCCATTTATTCCTACCACAGGCCTCAGGTTGGGCACCCAGTAAATGAGGCATACACAATTAGTGGCTGTTTGTGAAAAAGCTTGGTTTAAGAGACTTGTGCAGCATCACACACGAGCTCTGTGATAGAGGCAGAGATAGAGTGCAGTTCTGCGGGGCAGCATTCAGCTGTCTTAACCATGAGAATGTCCTTGTCTTCCTTCAATTTCCTGCCTTATTCACTACGTGCCTTCCAACTTCTGCAACAAATGAAGTAGACAATAGTCTTGTGCACTACACAGCCCTGATTGATCCCCAGAGCAGGCTGGAAAAAATACTATGTGATCCTATAATTAAAGATTGTGTCGTCATTATGCATATGCACAAGGGGACCAAATTAAGGTTACACTGACAACCTTAATTCTGGCATTTCCTAACTTCTGGGTGCTTGACTTTGCAACTCTAATGTTCTTTTAACATAGTTTTGTGTGTAACTGTAAAAAGTTGAATGTTTGCCATCCGCAAATGCTATAAAGCTGCCGTGACTTCCCTTTAACCTCCTTTCCCTTTTTAATTGCTTGTAATTCTTACATATTTATATTTGGGCTGAAATTTTCCTTACCCTCTGCCCAAAAGTGACTGCTGTCTTTTGTGTGTAAAATTTTTGGTTCTCTGCTCTGTGAATGTCAAAGTAGTGGGGAAGTTCTCTGTATATTCCACTTCGAAGCACAAAAATCTCATGACTCTAAAAGGTAGAAGCTGGAAATTTCCTAGTTGGCTTGTGTTGACAATCTTTTTGAGGAAGGCGTTCAAGGGTGAAGAAATTCTGTTTAGTAGTTTATCCTCTTTTGCTTCGTGCATATTCAGATTTTCCATTTTGTCCTTCCAGCACCATTTAGGCTTGCATCATTTAGAACACTGGTGTTGATTATAGTGAAGGATGCCCTCTGCTTATATCATGCTTCTAACACTATCCAGTGTTGAAACTAAATAAATGTAGTTTAATTGAACTGTGCTGTTTTTAACATAGCTTCACAAAAATCTCAGTACAATACTAATCTTTAAGCATTCTGCTATGAGTATGACTTTCCTTATGAAAGTGCTTGGTTTTTGTGGGTTTGTTTTTTTTTCAATCTTAATGTTCCATTAACACTAGTGTGATGTTGTATTAAAACACTATGTTCCGATGTTCAAAAATCTAACCAATGGATAAAGGCAGAGATAAGGTCATCTGCACAAATTTATTTTTGTTGATAGGTAGGTATACTGTACCATGTGTCTCAGGAGAGAAAGCACTGTTTCCTACTCTGAAACCTATCATTAGCACAGAAATCAGCTCTGTACTCAGACTTTTGGCAGGAGCTCAGCAATTCCTCTGGTGGCCGGGTGGGCAGCCCAATTCTGATTGTATTGTGTGGGATCCTTCCTGTCTTGTTTGAAGATTCTCGGGCTCTAATTACAGCCTCCCTTGATGGTGGTTTTTGGAATGTGTGAAAACAGCGGAGTGCTGCTCCTAGATTTTCTGCCTGGGAGCAGAGAACAGGAAGCTGCTACTGCATATGCATTGTAGTTGAATTGCAAAGATATTTAATGTTACCATCTTAATTTAAAGAAAACAAAATAGGCAAAGGCTGCAGCCTGCAACAAGAACTCTATTACCTGCCTATTGGCTTTATGACTTATGTAGGTGAAGATAGAATTGAATTGCAGCCCTGCACTGAAACCCACTCCAACTGTGGGAAACTTGATCAAGAAACACACTCTGGAGCTTAGGCCCACCTCTAATTGCAGTTCATTATGCATATAAATCACTTAATCTCTATGGACTGCATTTTTTCCTGGCCCTTTTTGTATGGTTTCAGATATATCACATATATACATTGGGTAAACTGAGTTGTGAAACCCTGGAGGTTGAAGTTAAAGAGAGGTTTGCCACTGGTCTAAACGGAACCAGGATTTCACCTGTGTATTGGCTTCCTTCTCACTATACCACCATCCCATCATTCTGTTTTTCATTTTCACAGAATATTCAGAAGATGCTTGGCCTGGCTCCTTCGCGGGCTGCCACCAAGCAGGCAGGGGGCTTCCTCGGCCCCCCTCCTCAAGCTGGGAAATTTTCTTGAAGTATAGTCATGCACCTTTCACAGCAGCTCCCATTGATGTCAGTATCGAAGACAGACTGCCCTTGGTTTGTAACAGGAGCGGATTCCACAGCAGGCTTTCTATTCATTTGAAGCAGCATTGGGATGGGTACTGCCTTCACGGAAGCATCTTTGTATTTGGAGCGTTCTACAAACAGCCTGTCACAATTGAAGCAAAACTCCTGGCAGATAACGTGAGATGTGTTTTGTGTGTCTGTGTAATAAATGATTAGGCCCCTTGCATTTAAAATGTAGTCACCTACTCCCATTGCAGGGACAGTGGAACTATCTTGCTTTATAGAACTACTGTAAAGATAATAAAACCTTATTTGGAGCCATGATAGGGAACCTGTAAAATAAACAGATTTTAGAAAGTCCTGCATCATCATGCTCTAGTACTGATTGTGTCCCTGTTCTCTTAGACAAACTGGCTAGAGACTTCTGTGTATTAGGAACCCATCTATAGGGAAACTAGGCATGTTCAGTTCTAGGCTATGAATGGGAGGAAAAATACATCTAAAGCTGGAGTTTGTTTCCTCATTAGTGCAGTACCCAGGCCACAGTGCCATGTTGCATAGCACCAACAACCTCTAACTGCTTCTGAACATTCTTTCCCCTCCTCCTGAGGAGCTCAGCTTGGTAGTGGTTTATGTAGCATTATGGTGCCCACATTCTAGCTGTCTGCTTAGCTGGAATCTGTTCAATTGCAGTCATAATTTAAAACAAACAAGGCCTTTAGTCTTACCTTGATTAAACAGTTACATAATCTCTTGTTTGTTGTATGCCAATGATACCATCTGCAACTACCCTTTACTACCTAAGGGTTACAGTGTACACACACAGCATGTACCAAACATAGAATGCTGCTGTGCTATTCACTGTACTTCTAGAACTGAGTGATCGGTTTGCATGTCTTAAAGGCCTCTAAATTTGTTACCAGTCAGCCATATGTTCTCAGTTCAGTTCCCTGTGCTATTTCTACATTGCCAGATATTTACCTAGCTTAGTCGTATTAGCTGGAGCCCAACTCGCTTTGTTTATGAGGGGACTTAAAAAATAAATCTTGAAGCTAAACTTTTATCAGGGTCACTATAGACAGAGTTCTAGAATGGCTGAGAGGTGGAATTGCCTGAAGTATCATCGCTGTACTTGTACCCTCATAAATTCTAAACCACTGCAGAAGATGGAAGTCTGCACCTGTCTTTGGAGGCATTTATGTTACACCATAGTACCTGTGCACTAACAACTGAACTAAATGTGATATGTGCTTGGTTAAATGATGTCCTCGACATAAATTCAAGACTGCCTGTATGTGGCAACATGGGGCATATTCACTGGATTATTTTAAATAAATAATGGGAGAGTTCTGAATAATAAACCCTGCCTTGAATCCTATCAGAGAGTGCCTGTGCATATATAAACTTGGTTTAAAACTGGGTAAGGTTGCTTAAATGCCACCTCCCCCCCAACACAAGCTCTTAAAGAAATGCCAAATTAAGGGATGTATTTTTGTCATATTGTGAAGACAGGATTGTCAGCCAATAATGCCAGATTCTGCATCTCTGCAAGAAACTTTTTTGTCTCCAAGAAAATAACTATATGCAGCACACAAAGTTCCCTCACGCTATCATGCAAAACCTTCAGCAAAATTAACAAGTATTCAGAATTGAAACTGGTTAGGTTTGTGGTGGGATGTGTTTAGAGGAAGTATGAAATTGTAGTTAAGATTTATATTATAGTTCAATGTGTTGCATTTGTTTCCTTATCTGTTAGAGACAGAAAGGAGTTAATTCCTTGTGTAGATGCAGAGTGAGCAAACTATAGGCCACATCTTGTAGTTGTTACATAGACAAAGTTCCGGTGAAGTTCTAAGGCTCATTTGGCCTGTATGGAAACTACACGATTAGGTCCTATTGGACTTATTTTGAATAAATACTTATAATGGACTCGGTCATGGATTGCCATTAATTCCCATGTTTCCACTGAGCTAAAATCATGAAATTTGGTTCAGTGGTAGTCATGATATAGAATCAATTATGTCTTAAGCAGGATCTGTTAAAGAAAACAGCTTCCACACAGTTTGAGTTCCAACTTTGTCTCCCTTATTTATCTGGCACCACACCCTGTCTGGACCTCTTATATAACTAATGGCTCAATAATGCACTACGAGTAGGTCATTTCACTGAGTACAGGAAAAAATCTCACATTTACTTCTGAGGGAATTGCTAAAAAAAATTAATAATTCTGCACACAATTATTTTAAAATTTTGCAAATTTTATTTGTCAGTAAATTAATGTGGACGCTCCAGCATGGCTGTGCGGAGTACAGGCTACTGGCTGCACTGAGCTAAGAGATCACCCTGAAGTTCCCCCCCTCCCAGGACAGGGACTTGGCAGTGAGGCTGCACCCAACCCTGACACAGTGCAAGGGCCCTGCCCCTCATCACAGGTGTACCAGATGTGGGCAGGCAGGCTCAGCCCAGCAGGATCGAAGTGCAGAGGGGCTTAGTGTGGGGGGATCCAGGTGTGGGGTGAGAGGGTTCTATGTGGGGCAATCTGGGTGTGGGTGACTCAGTGGGGGATCTGGATGCACAGGGGCTCATTGGGGGGTTCTGTGTGCAGGGGCAATGGGACTTTATGGGGGTACAGGAGTGGGATGGAGGTCTGGGTGCAGCTGTTTGGGGCTCAGTGGGGTGGGGGTCCAGGTGTGGGGGTTTGTTGGGGTGGTCCAGGTGCAGGGGGTGTGAGGCTCTACAGGGATGGGGGTGGGGGGGTTGAGATGGGCCTGCTTAACAGGGGAGCCCGTGCTGCTGCTGAGAGGACACTGCATGCTGGGCTCCCTTTTCTCCCACACCATTTCCCATCCCATCCCCTTCCCCACTCCCCCTCCCCCTGCCCTATCACATCCCCCTTTCTTCCCCACTGCCTTTCCTCCCCCCCCCCTTCTCCCATTTCCCCACCCTGGCCCACCACAGGCACTCACCATTGTACAGAAAACATGCAAGGCACCCAGCACTAGGACCAAGGAGGTGGCATCCAGCTGCAGAGTTAGTGAACCATAGACGGCAGCTCCGCACTGCAGAAATGTGGGGGAGGGGGCATTGCATGTGACCCTGTGTACTCCCCCATGCCTCACCTCTGGGGGGGCACTCAGGGTTCCTGCCTATTAATCATCTCTATATATCTCAATTTTAGACCATTGACCCATACCTCTTTTATCTTACATAGGAATTGCCATACCAGCTCAGGTTTCAGAGTAACAGCCGTGTTAGTCTGTATTCGCAAAAAGAAAAGGAGTACTTGTGGCACCTTAGAGACTAACCAATTTATTTGAGCATGTGCTTTCGTGAGCTACAGCTCACTTCATCGGATGCATACCGTGGAAACTGCAGCAGACTTTATATACACACAGAGAACATGAAACAATACCTCCTCCCACCCCACTGTCCTGCTGGTAATAGCTTATCTAAAGTGATCATCAACTATGATGATGATCCTAGGTTTATTCCTAAACCTAGTCAGTTAATAGTTATGTTCTGAAACAGCAGGTTTTGTATCCATTCTATAGTTTTGTCCTGTTGTATTGTTATCTAACTGCTGTTTTTTTAAATTACATAAATATTTACTCCTTTTAAAAATTCTAAACTCTTTGCCACATTGATGTAGCAATGAGTTCCAGATTAATTATGCTTTGTGTTAAAAGTATTTCCTAGTATCAGTTTTGTATGTTGCCTTTGGATTTTATTGGGTTTTCCCTTGCCCTTGTAGTGCAATATTGTGAGAAGGTAAATAGCAGTGCTTAACTACCTTTAGCACCCGAGCACTTTAATTGCCTTGGCATCCTGTAGGAAGTCCAGTAATCTTTGTCTGGTGCACTGTGACTTTGGAAATCCTTTGATTTTTTCACTTCTAAATGTTTTGAATTGTTCAATTATACCTCAGCTGCCCACCAGTGGGCAGCTGGAGAATTGCATGCCAATGCAGCCTTCAGAAAGCACTGCCTTGCAAATTGATTCTATGGCCACTGCTCTCTCATAGATTCCAAGATCAGAAGGGACCATTATGTTCATCTAGTCTGACCTCCTGTATAACACAGGATCCAGATCTTCCCCAAAATAATTTCTAGAACAGATCTTTTAGAAAAAAACATCCAATCTTGCTTTAAAAATTGTCAGTGATGGAGAATCCACCACGACCCTTGGTAAGTTGTTCCAAAGGTTAATTACTCTCACTGTTAAACATTTATGCCTTATTTCCAGTCTTTATTTGTCTACCTTCAACTTCCAGCCATTAGATCATCATGTTATACCTGTCTGTTGCTAGTCCATTATTAAATACTTGTTCTCCACTTTTGTTCAGGGCAATGATGTTCTGGGGTTGTCTGTATAATTTCACTGTAATCGGTTTCTTTCCCCTTGTTGCAGCTCTTAATTAAACAAATTGGTTCATAATGAACCTCGAGTGCCTAAGCATACTAGTGGGAACACAGGAAAGTATATAGGATGTAACTCCCTTAGCTGGGTTTTTCCCAATATGCAGTTACTTATATTTTAAACCAGCATTCCTGATGCTCCTGCATACCCAGCATTGGCTAACGTAGCATTGGCATCATCCACGCAAACTTCAGTGTTTCAACAAGTCTGTGGGGAACTGGCAGATACACTGGAACCTTGGGGGAAGTTTTTCCTACACAGCAATAAATTCCTGGGAGATAGTTCTGGGTTGATGGCCACAATCTTGGGCATTTTAGGAATGTGACCTCAGTGCAGCAAATAGCCAGTTCTACAACAGAAGCTTTTCTGTGTAGTGCAACTGTGTGATTGTAACAAACTCCCCCCACCTCGTGTGATCCTTTCTATTACAGTGTTGCCAAATCTCATGTTGTTTGATGTTTTTCTTTAAAACCCCAGCACTTGGAGTCATGTGATTATAGGAAAAACACATTTTTCATTACAAAAAAAAGTTTCTAGCTCAAAGTGTTGTTAAGTTTTAAAATGTGACTCTGAAATGCTTCAAAAACCTGAAGGCAAATAAAAAACAAATTGTATTATTATTTTTTAAAATCTCATGCTGTTTTGGCAATGACTCAGTACAATGTCTTTGAACACTTGGGGTTGCCAATCCTGCAAACCTCACTGGCATGCTTTTTGCTTCTCAAAGCTGCATTAACCCTTTGCGGACACAAAACTCCCTGGGAGATTGGCTAAATGCAGTAATTGTGTGGCCACCAATCTGTGGCATGGTGCTAGCACAGATCTGCACACATACTTCCCCCATCTGTGATAACACCAATAGAGTGGTTGCTTGCAGGACTGGCTGCATGCCCCTCCTCTTACCCCTGAAATTATCACTGCCTACCTGTTGATGCTTGTCTGCAACAGATATGCTCTGCTGTCCAGCTCCAAACACGAGTTGTTTAATTGGAAAGACTAGGACTTCAAATCCTGCTTGAGCACTGGGAATTTTTTTGGAAGGCTAAAAATAAGTTTTAAATAAAATGTAAAGTAAGTAGTCAAAGCAAATCGGGATGTGATCCTCTCCTCAAATTCTAAGGTCACTTTCAGAGTATGCAGATGCTATGATGGATTTTAGTGGATCCTAATTTGGATTGTGTCACAGGGTGGAGTGGCTCACAACCATGAGTGTCTACCTCAGCGCAGACTGTCAAAAGCAGACACTGCAAACTGGTGCTATAGAACTGGGTTCTATAATTAGATTTCACCAACCTAGTACCAAAAGTGAAGTCCCAAAGTACTACAGTACTCTTATAATGGAGCCACAGATAGACACTCCTCTATCTTGCCACTTAGGCAAGCTGGACTATGTGATAAATTTCAGGTTTCAGAGGAACAGCCGTGTTAGTCTGTATTCGCAAAAAGAAAAGGAGGACTTGTGGCACCTTAGAGACTAACCAATTTATTTGAGCATGAGCTTTCGTGAGCTACAGCTGATGAAGTGAGCTGTAGCTCACGAAAGCTCATGCTCAAATAAATTGGTTAGTCTCTAAGGTGCCACAAGTCCTCCTTTTCTTTATGTGATAAATGGCCACTTACATCAGAAATCACAAATATGCCAGGATACACGCCAGGATACTGGGGCAGCGGGCTCCCCGCGAGGTGTGTGGAGAGAGGGGGCAGAGCCCCGCGGGAGAGCGAGAGGGGGTCTGACCCACCCCGCCCCCCAGGCTGAATCTGGATCCCACAACGAGCACGGCCCCGTGTCACTCGTGGTCACCCGCGGGGGAAGGGGGGCCCCGTGCCCATGCGCACACTCCTCCAGCGCGGGGCTTGTGGTAGGGAGCGAGGCGATAAACAAGGCTTCCGCTCGCAGGGCCACGCACAAAGGGGGCGGGGCAGCGCCGCGCCAGGGTAAAGTCGAGTCGTCCCGCTGCACGG